TGACTGTCCAAAAGGTTCATATCAAATCCATATCACACCCGATATAGTCTCAATTTTCAAAAGTCCGAAAGGTTTATATCAAATCAATATTGCATCCCATCTAGTATCTCATTTAACATAGCTGAGAGCAGTACTGATTCAATTTTTTTAACTTTCTACACAGCTGCAAGGGCCCTAGATTCTATATCAGACTTGGCTAGCATGTCCAATATAGTTTTGACAATAGCTGTGTACTCGTCCGATAGAAATCAGTATTGTATTCAACAATGAATATTAACCTCATAAAACATAACAAACCTCTATCCTGCAGTAATTGAAATGCACCATCTCTGCCAGCCTGTATGTGTAGTTTACTTTCCTCTATATCTTTAAGAATCAGTTTGCCTACTTCAAAACCATCTGTCATTGTACCTAATATAACACCAACAGGTCCTCGCCCTGCCCAGCCACTACAATATAAACCTGTAAACCAATAATTAATACACAATGAAATCTAGTTTTTTGGTGGTTGGGTTTTTATTCAGAGTAACACTAATAAAGACACGTGGAAAATTTTCTTGTGAAGAATGACCCAAGGTACCAGTCATTGTATAACAGCTTGCACCAGCATACATTAAAGGCAACAAACAGTCTCCTATTATTAATCTGAGTAATTTCCTCACAGCTCAGCAACTAGAAAATCTAAGAAAACCATTACTATAAACACACCAACTTTTTATACAGTTGACATAATTTTCACAAATATCCTCAAATATGTGCAGTACATATATCACCTCAATGTAAAAGTGAATACTATATAAAGCTTAACAAATATAATCAAATACCAGTTTTTCCTTTTACCCGTCCCTGATCATTTTTTATCACACCCTGTGTTTCATCAAAAGGAATTTCTGGATCTATCTGCCTACTTCTACTTCTATAACCTATGCTACGTAACACTAGACCGCATGATATATCTTCCCTCTCCTCTGATAATACTGCCCGCTGTGTCATTAAATCTGTCCCCTAAAAATATATATACATGTATATTAAAGAAATACAAGAGCTGTTAGTAGGACAGTGTGCCTGACTATTTTCTGTGCTTGATAGTAAAACAAGAATCTGGATAATGTAGAATTTTTAAAGTTCAAAAAGGGCCAATATTATGTCAAAATCAGTGTTAAAGTTATGAGCCTTAAATAGTTACCTCCGGATTCTGCTCTCAAAAAAGTGTGTGCAGTTATAACCCATTCCCTTGAGTAATTTTAAAGACAATTACTTGCATGCAAAAATTTAACCAAAGTGTGATGCAGACCAATGCCTTGGTGAGTACAATAGCTCTCCCTATTTCTTCCAGGCCGTAAATATGGTGTGTAGCTGCAATATACTGTGGCCTTAATGACAATCAGAGTTTATGTACACGTCATTGAACCATTTGTGCATCAGCCTTAACTGTTAATTTACATGGAAATTAAGTGCCTGAAATAATGCACAGAATGGCACCTGAGGTCTTCCTCCACCAGTAAAGCTGGAACGTCGCGATATGACCTATACTGTGTCGATGTGATGTAAAACCCAAAACAAACAAACATGGAAATTAAAGAAATGCATGATTGTAACATGGTTTTTCTTGGACAATCCCATAACTGCAAACTTCTGAACTATCTTTTTTATTTCAATAAAGTAATTGTATAGTACTACAAATTTGTTATGACTTTATAAGTTTTTTGGCTGTGTTCTTTCGTTTAAACTTGCATTTACATAAGACCAATGACCTTGGTAAGGATTAATGTATACATCAAAATTCACCTCTAATCTGTTAACTCCAAATCTGACACCTGACACTGTTGAGCTGTTGGTAAGAATTTCTAGTGGGCTAAGTCTAAATCGTAACTCCCATTCCTTTGTAGCACTTTCCCAAAATTTATGATCCGATGCTGAAGGATTCAAAGCTGTTTTGTGTAACAATTCTGTGAGACGTTTTCTTGGTCGAGGCACATCTGTAAATAAATATATAATATACTTTTGTTGTCATTGAGGAAAATAAAAGTACACAAGTTTAAAGAATTTTTTATGTCTATAAAAATTGTCAACATTGCTTCCTTTTAACCTGCTGAATTTGTAAAATGGATTTGCCCAGCTTTAAAATTGGAACAGTCCAGTGCTTTCAATCAAAATACAAAACTTGACCAACAAACTGTAATGTTGCAGTCTGACTAGGATTCATACTGTTGGCAAATCTATAAAATCAATCACTTGCAGTAGGTTAATTTTTGTTTGGCTTTATGGCCCACCAACATAACTTCTGTCATATGGGGGCAGAAACAGGAAAGATGATTTTGGCATATCTTGGGTGTTACAAACTTAAAGCAACACCAGGGGTTCAAAACCACCTCACCTGCTGGAGCTAAGAGATGCATAAACTCTAGTAATTCGAATCCATTTAGTCCCTCTTATGATCACGGAGGGATAAACAGTGGTTGTCATTCTGATGCCTCAACACTTAAAGGCAACCCCTCAGCCACAAAGGGGATTTTGTAGCATAAAACTGAAGTCTTTGAAGCCATACCTAACATTCCAAAGTCCATTTCCATTCTTTTCTCCATGAGTTAAACCTTTTGGGACCAAACAAGAAGCCTCCAATTAGAAGGTCCTTAATATATTACACACACATGCAATGATAAATCATTGCCCACTTTAACCTTTTTAAGCCCTAATCTGCTGAATTTGCATAATGGATTAACTTTGCTTTGAATGGGCCATTTTAATTGGCATCAATTACAAAATACTCAAATTCAGCTGCCAACAGTATAGAAAATAGTCTCAAAGGAACATCTTTGTAGTCTGACCAGACTCTTCACTGTTTACTGACTGACTTTAAATTTTTATCTTTAAATCCCCAAAAATGATAATGGACAGTTCCAAAAATGTGGGTAAGGACAAAGTTGAGGAGGCTAAGGATTAACACTGATAGTTACCTTTAACAACATCATCCAAGCCTGTATAATCATTGTTATGCAGTACAGGCCTGGTACCAGGAAGTTTTATCATTTCCCTGAGTTCTTTTATGGTAAATGCAACTTGTAGTGGACCTCTTCTACCCGCAAGAATTACACGCTTTATACGACTTTTTCTTAACCTCTCCAGACTGTACTCTGTTATATCTGTTTTCTGAAAGGAGAAATACTTTCAATGAACTGTCATTTAAAACTAAATTACATGTAATTCTAGATGCCACAGTGTTCAAATAGGGCCATCGCTAAAAATATAACTCAAAACAACGAAAATACGGTGGTGAAAAGTCAAAATATTGAAACCACAATGGTGAAAAGTCGAAGGCATGATGATGAATATCAAACTTATATAAACTTAACTATGCCAAATTATAGATTTACAAATTATATTTATAGTGGCAAATACCTACACCAGCAAACTTAATAGTTAACATTCACAAATCCCAGAAATGTCATAGCTTTTATCATGTTCAAATCTTATTTCACAAAACCATGCCAAAGTCAATTTTAGAATTACAATGTATATATTATTAAGATTTAATTATGTTTCAATCTTATGATGATGGCAAAAATCTATTTTTAGAATGACTCAAATAAATTTAGAACTGGGCTAATTGTCATAAATTATTAGGTCACAGCTTTAATTATGTTAGTCCACTATAATAATCATACTCTGTCATATATAATATTGCAATAAACACATGATATTGATGTTTTTAAATGTCACACGGTTTAAATGGTGCTATATATAGAAATTATTCATGACTAATATAGAAATTATTCATGACTACCCTACACATTATGTTTACATATTGCATACATCAATTAAGGTTTAAACTTACAACACTGTTAACCAGGTAATATTTCTTTTAAACATTTTAATACATATTTTTTGTAAAATATTGTTGAATTCTTAATATTAGGGAAATAGAATTTTTTTTTAAGTCAGAAATATAGTTTAAACACTTATTAAATACTCGTATTTATGTGTTAAATTTTAATTCCCCATTTTTTTAAGTATATAATTTTAAATTTAAAAAAACAAAATTAAATTTTTTGTGAAAACATCTAAAAATAATTTGAAATTTAAAAACTTTTTAAAAAAAAATGTTAGGTTAAACTTTATAATGCCAGAATAAAAAGATTTTAAAAAATTGAAAAAAAATTTTCAATATAAAATATGAGATGCTTAAAAAAACTTGGGGGGGAAAATAAAAAATTTTTAAGTTTTCGTGGCCTAATTTTAAGGTTGACCCCCTGTCTTTAACAAATACCATTTGTTAAACCCCTTTAAACGCCAATTTTCTCATATGACATTAAAACTGGGTTTTTTTCAAAAAATGGTTTAAATTAGTTTGCGGGGGGCACGAAAAAAAAGATAAAACCCCTGCAGGGGAAAATAAGCCAGCACTCCCCATTTATAGTATATATTTTGAAACTTTCCCAAATCATGATGAATAGTCTTGACTAAAAGATGAAATGATAGATAAGTCCATTTCAGATATTTAGAGAGACAAGGGTTTAACCAATGTAAGCGTGATTGCTTAATGATTTATAAACTAATCCATTATATTTTATTTAAAACAGTAAGTTATCATTATGGCAACAACATCACCAAGGCAACAAAGGGAACAGAACTCTGTCTGGCTGTCCAAGATTGTAAAGGGAGATAAAACTATTGAAAACGAGAGAAATATAAACTTTTGCAGATTTTCATTTCGAGCATGCAAGTTGAAGAAAATATTCAATCATTGCACAAAAAAGATGTATTTACTGTGCAAGTGTACATGTGCGTACGAACACGAGTATTTTATGTATGTGAAAGACGATGGAAGTATTGACACAGAAATGTTTGACAAAATTTTGGCCTCTGTTGCCACTGGCAAGTGTCCTCATGTTGAACCATTCAAATCTACTTCAGAATCCTCGGTCACGGCAAAACATGCCTTTGCTGCAGTTGGAAACTCTGATATGATCATGTCAGAAACTACGTATGTGCCAACATCATGTTTCGGGATAACACCGTATCATGTTGCGACTATACACAAGCAACATGGTGCTATCAAAAAGCTAAGTAACATTTACAACTTCTGTACACTAAAGTATCCAACAAGAATGGAGAAAACCAACGAAGGAATCAAATTTGATTTAATAGCAACCAATTCTTTTTAAACTTTGTATTGATAGGGAAGATACTGAAACGCTCAAAACAATTCTCAGAGGCATCACAAACGTGTACCAGTACAATTCACCAATTCTTTACGCTATACATCACGGAAAAACAGAATCCCTTGATGTTCTCCTATCTTCATACAATGAATATATGAACATTTTCCAGAAAAAAGAAAATGACAATTTTCAAGGTACATTTTTTGCTGTTCTAAGCAACAGACCGGAATCACTCAACATAATACTTGACCACCTTGAAATTCGTAGTGCATTTACTATTGATGAAAATTTTACCCTGGCTGACCTTGCCCGCTCATTAGGCCATTCTAAGTGTCTTGAAATACTGGAGAAATGGGAAGACATGCAAGAAGATGGCAATGGAGGCAGACTGATACACGAACACAGAACGCGGGACAAAAGCGCAGCAGTGTCACCAATATGTGCGATACTTTTCAAACTGAAATTTCACAATCTTCACCACTATAAAACTGAAAGTCTGTGTCAGATCCTTGAGAAACTAGTGGCAAATGGTCATGACATCAATCAAAAAAGCGAATGTGGCAAAACCCCTTTACATTACGTCTGCCCACAAGATCCATTTTTTGACATAAAAGTACATTTTACATTATTACAACTTGGTGCTGACATAAACGCTAAAGATCCAAGTGGTGAAATAGCTTTGTTTCCAATTCTTAATGAGCTAGAAATCCAACAATTTTACCAGAGAGACTGTCTCAAATGGATCATCAGAATGGCTCTGTATCATAATCCGATCCGATCTAACATAAGCCATTGGGACATACTGAGAGACCAGAATCGATTTAAACGTCTCAACCACATATATGACGGTCTGTGTGAGGATTTTGTTGAATGCGGCTTTATACCCAAAGACTACACTGAAGTTAGATCTCTACAGAAGATTTGTCGAGACTCACTCAGACAGCACTTTCCTGGTACCAGCCTTCACAGGTTTATACAGGAAACAGTTATGCCTCCATCTTTCAAAGACTTTATTTTAATGAAGAAAAGGTTTGACTGGCAGCCACATCTAGATTTCCACCAGTAGGGCAGAACACTACATAATTTTTTTATTGCTCTCCAATAAAGACAATACAGCTTATATATTACAACAGTAAGGACAGACAACCTTACTTATAGATAGGTTCACAAATAAAAGCATAAATATAGCAGAACCTACATTCCTGATAACATTTTGTTTTTTAGAAAACAACATTATTACAGTTCTACTATATGCAAGCAACATTCAAGTTCTAGACAAGACAGAAAACATGTTAAGAAGGCAGGAATTCCCACTTTACACCTCAATGCAGTGACAAGTTTCACAGAGATCCATTGAACTAGGGAGACAATGTGATCTAAGTGCATTTTCAGCTTGGCAGATATAAGATACTTACGGACAAAATGGAATGTGGCATAGAATGATATAAGAGATGAGGCATTTAAAGTGGGCATTTCATAACATTTACTTTAAATATAGATGCTCCAATGAGATTATATAGTGCATTTCATAGCATTTACATTAAATACAGATGCTCCAATGAGATTAAAGAGGGCATTTCATAGCATTTACGTTCAATATAGATGCTCCAATGAGATTAAAGAGGGCATTTCATAGCATTTACATTAAATACAGATGCTCCAATGAAATTAAAGAGTGCATTTCATAGCATTTACATTAAATATAGATGCTCACATAACAATTGTTGAGTTGGAAGCCATACGCTTATTAAAACACTCTTGCACTGTTCTTGAAACCAACCAGTACTAAGAAATGAATGTTAAGTTACCTGCTCAAGGACACAACAGCTTGCCTGTGACAGAATTTAAACTCACGCCAGTAATCCTTATATTACTAGTCTGACGCATTAACCACTTGGCCACATCAGAGATTGACAAAATGTAGAAAATTTTCTCTGTTAGTAGGGTAGAGAAAACTTTGTTTATAAAATAGTAACTTATGTCCTATTTTGCTTAATACATTCATATGGAGTGTAAATATTTATATATTTTTCTTAATTTTGAATTTTTGAAGATTAAATTAACTCATATGGAGGTGTGCCACTTAAAACTGAAAATAACTACGGTAAACATGCTTAATAAATTAGATATTACTTGCTGGACAACCATAGAACATACAGGTTTCAATTTTATCTTATTACAGTTAAAAACATTGTTATAAATAAATAAATATCATAAGATTCAATTGTTAAGATATGACTGTGATATACAATGTTCTAATAACAAGAGCTGTCGGTAGGACAGCAACGCTCGACTATTCTTAGTGCTTGACTGTAAAAAAAAATGCTTGATACAGTTACCCCCTCCTGTTTACAGGTTGGGGTAATGATGGTGAACAAGTGTGCAAAGTTTCAAAGCCATATGTCAATGGACTTTGAAAATATTTGAGGTATTACAAAAACTTTAACATATATTCTAAGTCGAAAAAAGGGGCATAATTCTGTCAAAATGATTGCTACAGTTACCTCCTCCTGTTTACGGGTTGAGGTAATGATGGTGAACAAGTTTGCAAAGTTTAAAAGCCATAGATCTATGGACTTTGAAAATATTTGAACTATTACAAAAACTTTAACGTAAATTTAAAGTCGAAAAAGGGGCATAATTCTGTCAAACTGCTTGATACAGTTACCTCCTCCTGTTTACAGGTTGGGGTAATGATGGTGAACAAGTGTGCAAAGTTTCAAAGCCATATGTCAATGGACTTTGAAAATATTTGAACTATTAAAAAAACTTTAACGTAAATTCTAAGTCCAAAAAGGGGCATAATTCTGTCAAACTGCTTGATACAGTTACCTCCTCCTGTTTACAGGTTGGGGTAATGATGGTGAACAAGTGTGCAAAGTTTAAAAGCCATATGTCAATGGACTTTGAAAATATTTAAACTATTACAAAAACTTTAACAAAAGTGGTAAGCCGACGCGGACGCGGACGCTCGGGTGACTACAATAGCTCTACTTATTCTTATCGAATAGTCTAGCTAAAAATGTTTCTTCCATACGAAGTACAAAATATTATGATAAAAAAGTTTTGATGTGAAATTAATAAAACCTCTTTAATTTTGTTTTATATCTAATGGAATGCAAAGAATCTTATAACCTGTTCCCTTCAAAATTTGTGTCATGAACTTGCCTTGCTTTGAATTTAGAACAGTCCATTGACTGTTTAAGGGTTTTCAATATCAAAACTAGAACTCTGTGAGTTGGATGTGTTGCTTTGTCAACAGTATAGCTGTTAGTTTGGCATTTTCTTCTTAAATATAGGTTATTTATAAGTACTGCTCTTGCAATGTACATGTACCTTTACTTTACTGGCAAACAATGTTACGTCAGGATTAATAAAATTGTTATTTTATCAAAAATAAAACTTCTATGGAAAAGTTTTACACTGACAGATTAAATGGAGGATTCTGTGATGGATTCTTATGCACTGCACTTCAGGTCAATGAAAAAAGCTTGCATACCAAATTTGAAGACAATCATTATATTGACCAAGATATGCTCTCGACAAGCCCATTTAGAATGAAAATTCACAAAGGGCATTAACTAAAAAATCATGAAGTGCAGAGTACAAGTTATTGTGCACTGCACATCTTCCCAATAAGATCAATCATCCTATGAAGTTTCAAGTCACTAGCTTTTACAGTTTAGGTTAAATGGCCAAGACAAAAATAAACTATGAAAACTAACAAAGGGCAATAACCCAAAAATCATGAAGTACAGAGTACTGGTTTTTGTGATATTCAGTGAGATCTATTATCCTTTGAACTTTCAAGTCCAAAGCTTTTTCAGTTCAGGAGAAATGGTCTGAACAAAAATATATTATGAAAATTAAAAAAGGGTAATAACGCAAAAGTCAAGAAAAGCAGAGTAATGATTCTTGTGCACTGCACTTCATGTCATTAAAAAAAATATGCATACCATGTTTGGAGTCAATCCGACCTATAGTGACTGAGATATTCTCCAGACAAGCCCAAGGGGACACTGCTGATGCCGCCGACAAAACTAACCCTTATATGTTGACTTTTTCAAGATGATACAACTGAGTAGCCAAGAATAAAGTCTGGTTTGCTTATGCAAATTTGTTTGACTCTGTACTAGTGACTTTGATCATTCTAACCACTCATATTCAGAGAAATCTATATGGAGTAACATAGGTAATTTATTTTCAGTGTCAATGAAGACTTCAGTAATGGCTTTTATGCTGTCAATGATCATATTTTGACTTTTCATTCAATAAAAATAGCCGTCTAGCAAGGATGCTTTTCTGTACATCAATACCATTTGAGTTTCTTAAAATATAATGCAACATTTATTCCTGTCCTAATGTCTCACAATACAAATCATCATCCTAGACATGAAAGTGTGTCTTGTAGAGTTTAGCCTGTGCCTGTTGTACATAGATTTTTGGGATGAGGGCCTTTTTGTGAATATTTAATACTGCTTAAGTCATACCACCTTTGGGCAGCTACCTAAAATGCCTCCTGGATTCTGAATAACTTGATTTGTCCACAAGTATCTACAACATTCTTCCCTAAATTCACCTAAATAAGTGGTTGTGAATTAAAAGTTCAACATATACTGTCTTTGACCAAATTAATATTCATAAGTTTTAGTGTTGTAAAATATGTTGTGCCCATGATTTAAACTTGCAAACTTAAATCTATAGGGTTTATTTTATGTCTGCTCACTGAGCAAACTTGGCAAGCACTTTTTTGCAATGTAAGAAGTGAAAATGGTAAGTGCTAGAAGAAATAATAGCATATTACAAAACATACATATACTATGTAAACAAATGAGACGGTTAAAATTGAAACCACAAACTTACAGCAAGAATGTCAATCGGAGTGAGAAGAATCCTCGCAACATCTAGTGCCACATTGCCATGTCCTAGAACTAAAGCTGTATCTGTGTCAAGGTCAACTGATAACTGTAAACAAACAAATCACAATACATCACATACTTTTACAGTGTAAACTCTCATAACTATGAAATGAGCCGCGCCATGACAAAACCAACGTAATGCGTTTGCGACCAGCATGGATCCAGACCAGCCTGCACGTCCGCGCAGTCTGATCAGGATCCATGCTGTTCACTTACAGACCCTATAACAAGTAAAGAAACTGATAGCGAACAGCATGGATCCTGATCAGACTGCGCGGATGAATTTCAGACTTAATAATCACTACATATAGCACAGGCAGATTTTCAATATATCTCAGTATCTCTCAGTATCTCTCAATCTGATTATTACTTTTTTGTACCGGGTATCTACCATCATATAGAGGATATTTGTTTAGTTCAGTGTAAGATCGGAATATATTTCACCGAGTGAGCACCAAAAGGTATATTTCACGAGTGGCGCAGCCACGAGTGAAATATTAACTTTTGGTGTTCACGAGGTGAAATATATTTCGATCTTACATTAAACTAAACAAATTTTCTTTTTATTATATGCAAAGAAACGTTTAAAAAGACATTTTAACTTAGTACTAAATGAAAAGGGCGCCAAATAATAATATAACGTGACGTCATTTACGACGTCACGTCATTAAGTTGGTTTCCAGTACTGTGAACGCTTGTATTTCACTGAAACAACGTACTGGGCTCAAATATTCAAAACAGTGAAATTATCAAATCGATAATTTCACTGCTTCAAACAGTGAAATTACCAGTTTTTAACTCACTGATATATTTCTATAAACCACCGAAAAGCATGTAATAAAAATTTTTTATTTTTTTTTAAACAAAAGATAATGTCTTTACATACAAAATAATAGGCCAAATATAAATAAATAAAGTCTTTATACATAAAGACAATAATAATGAAGATGTATGTATAGTATATAAGTATTTTATATATTTTTCATGATCTATCTTGAACTTGGGAAACATTTAATGAAATATAGCTGTTCCATAGGTCAATTGCTAGTAGAAAACTAAAACTTACATTGCTATCTTCTGGTAGACCATTATACCATCCCACAAAATTTCTGGCTGACAACACATTTGGTGCATCCTAAATTCAACAACAACAAAATCTCATATTATTTATTATTGAATGTCCTATGGTGACACTGTCCATATTTGTTTCTGTCCCAAAGTCTCATAAAGTGTTCTGTTTCACAAGAAAACAGTTGGATATTTTTTTTTCCATTAAAGTAAATTTACAACTTTCTGTTACCAAAAAAGTTTGAACCAGTAAAAATATATCATATATTGTATGAAAATTCCTCAGTAAGAAATGGTGTTGAATCATGATCAACAAAGGATACAATGTCCAAGTTTTTACCATTTACAAATCCTTCTTGGTCAAAAACATCAATCTTTTGTCATTAAGCAGTGACTTCAATTTAGCCCCAGCCATGCTGCCAATACTTTTTTGTAGTACTACAAGTGTCTATTTCCATTGTAAAGAGAATTGATAAAAGTATGCTGAACTACATTATGGAAAGAAGTAATATTCCTTACGTCATTTAGTTTACTGAAGTCATATCTGACGTCATACCATGTGTAAGATAAGCATTCTTTTTTATGCCATGCATATATTGTGTTTTTATAATGCATTCTGCAGTCCTATCTGTTTGAATGGGAAACAATGTGAAGTGTGTTAGAATGTTAAACAGTAGGTCCACAAACAAAGCAATAACCTTGCAAATAAATCATATAAATTCTTATATTATTACCTCTCCTGGTATTCCAAGCCTTCTGTCATCTGCTGCCCCATATGACTACAAATACATGTAATAAAGAGTTCTGATAAGAATAAAGTAATGACAGATTAAATAGGTCATCAAAAATTGATTTCTGTGCATAAACATGTACATACAAATGTGTCTGTTCACTTAACTGCCTTGTTTTTTTTACCTAATTTTACTTGTCCTGCCCACATCATTCTTAACCATCAAGTAAGCTATTCTATATAACTTTGCACGTATGATAATCTTAATAAACTTCTGTGTCATGGGAACAATTAAATAAAAAAGTTTGTCTCTACAATCTACAGTAAGATAGCCTGCCTGCACATTTGTGCACAATACTGATTCCTATGAAAAAAGAATAATCATTCAAAAAGAGGACAAGTACAGATAATAAATACACATTGCCAAGGTCTTGGTATTATATCAAGTAGGCTCCCTTCGCAGCTCACTGAATACACATAAGTTACTTTCAAACCATGCGATAGTGAAATATTCGACCGATGCGCAGGAGAGTATATATCAAGTTGGGGGGGTTTACTTTGCACCAACACAATAAAGGTTATGTAGTGACTTTCCCTTTCCAGTGTTACTTGTGGAGGAAGACCTCAGGTGCCACTCTGTGCATTATTTCAGACACAAAGCATTCCTCAGTAGAACCAGGAAGCTGAATAGCTTCTTCACAAGAAAAATCCTAAGTACCTTGCGGGATTTGAACTCATAGCTATGAAGGACAAATGGTTGAATATTTTACAATGATACATGTATAAATAACAGATTTATGAGAACAACTACAATGTTTATTGCCAAGTTTCAAAGTAATCATCAAAGAACCATTATGTAAAAACATGGCAATATGGTATAAACAGACAATACTGAAATAAGTTTGTTGTAAGGAAAATAAATTTCTATACAGATATAAACATATTTACCAGAACAACGGCTGTATAGTATTTTTGAAGTTCTGCTATAGATATATCTTTACCAATGGTAACATTACCAATGAATGAGCAGCGTTCCTTGTTAGCTGTCTGAGTGAAGGTATTTATAACATTCTGCAAATTTAATGAATACAAAATTACTACTTCACAACGAGAATAGACATTCCTTGAATTTAGCAGCCAATGCTGTTATAGCATGTTATGCCTATTCTGATTGAGAAAAGAAGTGAAATATATTGTTTCATGTGACAAATAGATAATATATAGACAGGAGAGAATGTATTGATGGCATGTTACAAATCAATAATTTGTCGAAACCATTTAATGTTTCACTAGAATATGCAAATCTTAAAATTATTATTAACATGTAGTTAAATTCATTACTTAATATTACCAGTATTTAAATGAAACTGTAAATACTTACTGCTACCTAAAACATTATAGGCTTTGTTTCCAACTTAAAAGGTAGACCATTTAAATTTGCAGGTTGTTAGTTCAGACAAACGACTGACAAACTAGCAGAAGAACTAACCTTGACCTCTGGATGGTCCGGAGCCACACCGTACCTCACCAAACCAAATGGCACTGGAAGTTTCTCATATATGTCAACATGCACATCAGGATTTCCCTAGCATGACAAAATATCTTACAAATAGTATCATATTACTACTGAATTTACAATGAAATATATACTGACTGACTATGTATGTTTATCACGCAAGGTAGATAAATTAAATCAGTGCAGGAAGAGATGCAAGTTTGTAAACAAATTTACTTCCTGGTGCAGATAAATGTTTTTCTACATGCTTGAGTGGAAGGCAAGCAATGTCATTTCATTTATCTTTCATTATGGATTAAATTAGTTTTGGAAAGATGTAGGAAAGTTGGCAGCGTCTATGATACTCATCTACCAGTATTATAACTCACAGAAGTATTATATTGCAGGCCATTGTTGCCCTATCACCAGGGGTCAATTTGAAGAAAATTTAAAATGTTTTGAATTATTTTATAAAAGAAAAGAGGTTTTATTCACCACATATCCATCACTAATTGCCTCTTCAACAAATCATCAAGGACAAGAATGTGAATCTTACCTTCAGCAATTGCTGTGCTGTGTAGAATCCTGCAGGCCCACTGCCTATCACACAAACCTGAGGTTTTAACCCTGTCCCACTCTGCTGACGTATTGCAACTCTTAATACATGCCTCAGATGACGGAAACATAGGTGCTGACACAACATTCTTTAACCTTTAAAATACAATACATTTTAAACTTGAAGTTGAATAAGCTCTGCATCTTTCCATGAAAATATACTAAGTAAAATCAGAGTTGTGTTTGACTTTTATCTTTTAAAATTAAATATCACTAAATTTTGCACCCCTTAATATTCAAAAATTTATACTTTCCATGTGGAAATAAATTGTTTTTTTAGTTTTTTCTGACTCACATGGAGAAAATTGAATTTTTTAATTTTATGAGTTTTAAAAGTACAACATGAAACCGTATCTTTTCAAAAATTTTTTAAAAGTTTGAACTTGCCCAAAAACACTTGTACCGGAGAAAATTGTGGAGATTTTTAAGTATGGGCAATATCCACAGCATATTTTCTGTGGTGAAAGGTCTGACTATTCCAAGTTATTGTAAGTGGAAAAATTGCGTTATTTAATGCATGGGAAATATGTCTCTGCAGCCGGTTGGCAAAATCTGATTTTGACTAACTTGTCCGTTTTTATCTGAAGCATATCTTAAAGCACTTCTTATCTTGTCCATATGATATTTATATAGTATATTCTTCAAAATTTCCACTAGTCTGTACAGGCTATGGGACAACATGGGCAATATGAACATTTGATTTTGCCACCCCTGTCTCTGGCAGCGAGATTCTAACCAAACAAAAATATCAGAATCTAGCTGATAAAGACATCAAATCAGTTTGACTGAGTGACCCAGAGATTTAATAAGGTGTATTCTTTATCAAGCACATTGAAAATATAAACCAAAAATTGAAAGTTGGAGGGCTTTAAAGGGAAACGGTTTCACTTTTTCCTAATTTTTAAAAATGTCTTCCTACCCAGGGCCCTATTTTCAGCTTCAAAAATTTTTTTAACCCAAATTTTGGTTTTTTCCAAAATTACCATTTCTTTTCCTTTCCCCTTTGGCCAAATTAATACCCCCGGGGCCCTAATTGGGTTTCAAGGTTAAAAAAAAAAAAATTTTTTTTTGAACCACCCCCACCAAAAACCACCCTTTTGACTGATGATTTACTAATTTCTGATTTCAAGACCCCAAAAAACCCCCCTTAAAAAAGGCCCAATTTCCATACCAGATTTAAGGGGGATAACTTTTTCAAATTTTTTCTTCATTTAAAAATATTAAACGGGGGAAAATTTTAAAATGCTTAAAAGGGCGGGATAAGTGTTTTCCCTTTAAAGGGTAAAAAAAAATGGTGGCTGTTTTCGCCTTTATGGCTTTTTTTTTTTCTCTGCTGGGCGTCAGGTGTAAACATGAAAAATGAAAGGTAATAACGATGTTGTACTTTCGCTCTGTAGGGCGCAAGGCGAAAAACATGAAAATACTACACAGTGATTAACTTTGACGTAATTCCGTGCTTTTGCATTCTGCTCTGTTGGATGGCCAGAAAAAAAGAAAGTGATTGCTTTTATCGTTTGCAAACGCGCCTTTCAATTTGTTCATTTTGCCACAAAAATTAGATCATTATTCTCAATAGCGAGCTCGACGAGGCTGGCCCAAAGGGCGCTGCTCGCAAAGCAGCTTTACGGTAACGAGAGTACCTGCTAAGTGGATGGTTTTGAAAAAAACTTTCGTCCGAAATACGCGAATTGGACACAGTCCGCAACTTTTCGAATTACAAGATAACGATTAAAAAGCCAATGTACTCTGATTGAAACGGAACCGTTATTTAGACTGGTGTTCCTGCGCACTTATACAGTGAACTTAGTATTAGGAACCATAATAGAAAGGAGGAACCAGAATAAACAGAAAGCAGTGTATAAAAAACCGAAAGACAATTTTTAAACGGAAAAATGTTAAAATAAAAAATGAACGATTATTTTTAAACTATCTTACGGTAAAAGAAAAAATCTAGCTCGCTTTTGAGGCTTTGCCTTTTTCCATATTAAAAAAACGGAGTGAGTGAGCAATCCAAAAATTTTGCACACAAGTTTAATAATTGGTTATAGGCCTACATCAAATGGAGCATTTATCTTGAAAAATAATTTCCAGTCAATAATAATTATTGATAATAAAAAAAACCTCAGTGGACTCCCTTTTAATTACAAAAATAAATTTAAAAGATAAGTTTGTTCATTACTTACAAAGTAAAGAAAAATTTGAAAAAGTACACTTATTTGAATATTAAGCAGTAACAACAATATCATTCAATTCCTTCATTCACAATATAAAAATGAATTTCAGAAAACTGATGCATTGATGCCTAAATGTTGTTGTTGTTGTTGTTGTTGGGGCATGGCTAAAAACCAACCGGCTACTTTCATTTTCAAGTATTGAAAAAATAGTTCCATGAAATATATTATGAAAAGATTTGTTTTACCGCAAATGTTTCTAAATAGGACTCAGTTTGATAAATGTAGCTTACAGTGGTATTATAAAAGTACATATTATACAGTTTCCTGTACACAATATGGATGTCCTTGATTGATATTCATACACAGGAAGAAGAACTGTACACCGCCATTTTTAGGTATAAAATCGCATAAAATATTAGCGTGAGTAAAACAATGAATTTATTTTTATATCTTAGTGTATTTGGTTTAAATTTAAACATGTGTATTTCATATTATATTTTTGTATATATTTCTTCTCCATATTAATTTCTGTATTGCCATATTTCGTTAGAAATTTGACAAATTGAGAGAAAAATAAAATCGTTCACTTCCGTCTTCAGGTTTTTATTCATTCAGCTTCTTTGCACGTGTGAGTCATTTAATATTGCATATTCCTTTTTAATATGTTTTATTTCTTAATAACCTATAAGTTTTTAACTTAAAATTACATTAATAAAATTTTCTCACACGTCGAAGAAAACAACTCGATACAAAATATTTTTAAAATATTTTTTTGAGAATTTTATAATTTGTTAATGACACACCCTGGTAATAATTTTGCATGCTAATTATGAATATCATTTTAGGTATTCTTAGGGAAGAGATGAAAAATGCAAGGTCATGTTTTACAACTGTAAATCCAAATAAACACATAATACCTCTGCACTAGATAATGATATAATATATATAGGTAGATCTAATAGGAAACATAATGAAACATAATAAGATTAACTTACCATTATGTTCACTTGCTTATCTGTGAATACTACTCATATTTATTTAACATAGATCTGCATATGTTTAATGAAAATGAGTAGAATTAAATGTTGAACAAGAGTTTTAGAAAATATGATTGGAGAGATTGTTTTGTGAGAACAAAATGGACAACATCAAGGTATTGCTCAAAAATTCATTTTGGTATAATGAGATTGTCAAGGTTTGGAACAGTCTATCAAAGGAAGTTTGCTGTGGATAATGCAGAAAAGTACAAAGATTTTGACTTTAAATGTTTTGTAGTTTCTTCAGTGTTAATAAGTCTCAACATTCTACCCCCAATTTCAAAATCAGTTTTGGGCATAATTTTTGTTGATTAACAATGTATGCCTTACATTTACAGACAACTTAAAACAGATTGACAAAGATCATGGCTGAAAGTGAGGACCAGTCTCCACAAGTAGAAGAGGTTGATGATGATGAATCTAAACTAGCTTACAAGCCTCCTGCTGAGAAGACCATTGAGGAAATACTAGAGCAGGATAAAGATGATGAAAGTCTTATAAAGTACAAGCAGACACTACTTGGTGGAACAGCTAAAGAAAATGTTTTCTGTAAGTTTATGTCTTCGCCTTTGACTAGACATAATTATGTTTAGATTGACTATGACATGTCTGTTCAGGTCTTTTCACAGTGTCACCATGGATCATACTGTCTGGTCCTTATAGAAGTTATGCATATTCTTTTCTAATCTTTAAAAAAGAACTCAAAACTGAAAAGAAAAAAATATACATTTTTATTTGTTGATGAATTCTTTGTCATTTCAGATGTTCACATGTTAAAATTGTATTAAGAAAAACACCAAAAAAATGCTGAATCTTTGTTAAAATTGTATTAAGAAAAACAACAAAAAATTGCTGACTTAATAAATAACCTTTCTTAGGTTGTTTGCAACACAGATAAAAGTCATTCATTTATTCAGCGCTGCCTTCAAATATCGCAGACAAAAATGTTTGGTTAGGAAAACATTCAAAACCTATGGAACCATAAAATTTTTTACTATCCAAAAAAAGTTTTTAACAATAATTTTTTTTATGTCTTTCACTTGGCATAACCAAATTTTCCCCATTTCATAGTGAGATAAGATGTGAGATTATTTTGTCTTGCGGGCCAAAATTTAAGTAATTTTTGTTCACGGGTTTTTTAAATTTTAATAGACTTTCCTCCAATATTCAATAATTTTCCTTTAAAGGGCATTTGTATAATTAATTTATTGAAATACTGTTTGAAATCCAGTCATTATTTCAGTGGAGTGACTGCTGCTTAAACAGTAATAACTTTCAGGATATATAAATGTAAACTCCATTTTGTGTATTTTGCACTTGCACTGTGGAGGGGGGGTTTTTTTGGGAAAGGGTTTGCCTTGGCCTTTTTGGGGGGGGAAAATAAAAGGGCCGATAGAAACCCAGAAAAAGGGTTTTTTTGGAAATGAAAATAAAAACCAACAAGAAAATTAAATTTTTAAAAACCCCAATTTTAGGAAGAAAAATTTTTCTTTTCTATTTAAAACCACAGGGGTTACAACAGATATTTTATAGGGAAAAAACCAAAATTTTTGCCCTTTCAAACTGATCTTTTAAAACATGGTTTTTAAAACAAAGGGAGTTTTAGGGGAAAATTTTTTATGTTTTTAAGGGAAAAATTTATTTATTTTGCGGGGAAAAGTTTTTTTTTTGGGTAAAAACTTAAAAAAACACGGGGAAATTGGATTTGCTTAAAAAAAAATTTTTCTTAAATTTTTAAAAAATACAAGAAAAATTAAGATTTTAAAATTTGTTTAAAATAGGGAAGGCAAAAATTTGTTTTTTTAAAAACCATTTCTTTACTTTTAGAATTTTTTTAAAAGGCAAAGAATAAAAATTTTAAAAAGGGGTTTTTAAAGGGCAAATAAATTTTTCAAATTTTTAAAGTTGTGGAAATTTTTTTGGGGAAAAAGAAAGTTAAGGTTTAAATTAACTTTAAATAAAATTTTTTAGCCAAATTTTAAGTTTAATTATTGGAAAAAATTTTGGGGGTTTAAAAAATAGTCTTTCCCGGTGGGTCCTTGCCGAAATTTTTTCCGGAATATTTAGTTTTTTGGGTTTTTATTTTAAAAATTTTCATGGTGGAAAAAGAGGGGGGAAAGGGGTAAATTTGAAATTTTTTGAAAATTTTTTTTTTCCAAAATTTTTTTTTCCCAGAGCATAACTCCAAAAAAGCCTATGAGATATTAACATGAAAACTTCATAGGTGAATAGATCTCACTCAAGAGGTGTGAGTGCACAAGAATGATAACTCTACCTTTCATAAATTTTTGAGTTATTGCCCTTTGTATATTTTTCATACCTAATTTTCACCTGAGTGGAGAGCATAACTCAAAAAAGTGTTTATGAGATTATCAACATGAAATGTCATAGGTGGATAGATGTTATTGAGGAGGAAATGTTGTACACAAGAATGGATAACTCTTCCCTATGCAATTTTTGAGTTATTGCCCTTTGTTTTTTTTCATGCTATTTTGTCCAGGAGTATAGGTGCATAGATCTCACTCAGGAGGTGGTGCACTGCCACAAGAATGATAACTCTACCTTTTTATAATTTTTGAGTTATTGCCCTTTGTTCTTCTTCATACTTAATTTTTCAATTTAATTTTTTTCTCAAAAAGTATTTGAGCATCAACTTGAAACTTCATAGGTGGATATAGATTTTACTGAGGAGGGATGCAGCACACAAGAATGATAAACCTACCCTGCATTATTTTTCAGTAATTGCCCTTTGTTATTTTCAGCCATCAGTATTCACATAGGTTTCAAATCTGTAATCACTATAGCCATCAGTTTTCATTACCAAAAGGGACCTCTTAAAATGGAATTATTCCGCTCTACTACATATATTTCTTCCAATGAGCAAACACATTCGGCGGGGGGATGGCCATGTTGACATGGCTCTTGTTTAGTAATTTTTGATTATAGAATAGATTGCATCCAAAGAAAAAAAGGAAAGATTTTAGTTTGAAAATTCTGTTTATTGCTTTCAGATGTAAGTCAATTTAAAAAACATGAACTTTTTGTGAAGGAAGGGGTGAAATACAAGCTGAAGATCACATTTAACGTTCAGAGACAAATTGTTTCCGGCCTCAGACTTGTCAATAAAGTTAGTAGAGGACCAGCAAGCTGTAAGTATATGATCTACTGGAATATAATTTTCAACATGTATGCTAGGGGGCATCCATGGCCGGATGGTTAAAGTTGTTGACTGCAAACCACTTGCTCCTCACCTCTGTGTGTTTGAATCCTGACATGGACTTTGGTTTCTAACCAGCTAGCTTACGGAACGTTGGTGGTTCTACACGGGTGCCTGTTTGTGCCTATATGTTATTGGTTCATACTTTAATGAGGGGCCTCTTTGTCAGAGTCTCCTGTCTCTGACAGTGCCACTCTTGGAACCACTTGCCCCTGGCTTCCCACCAGGGACTTAGCATATTTTCTTGTGATTAAACTTTTCATGGAGCTTATTTAAGATCTATGGTTCAACTCATGTCTTGACTTGTGCCTGAAATAATGCATGCAGAGGCAACTGATGTCTAACTTGATTAATTAAACTTAAAAGTCACCATATGACTTTAACTGTATTAAAACATTTTAAAATCCAACAAAACAAAACAAAAATTAATGAAATAAAACTTAAAAGAGATTATTTTTTCTTTGAACACAGCAAAAGAAACATACATGGTTGGCAGTTATGCTCCTAGGAAAGAAGCTTACGAGTATGTATCAGCAGAAGAGGAATTTCCCAAAGGAATGCTCGGTCGTGGTGACTACAAAGTGAAATCTGCATTCACTGATGATGATAAAAAGTCAATACTAGATTGGGAATGGAGTTTTCAGATAAAGAAAGACTGGAAATCCTAATGCTGGAATTGTTTTATTTTATTTTTTTGAATGAATGAGTAATTGGTTATAGTAGGCACTAGTGAGCAATAACTCCGAACTGCTGATCACTGATTTTTAAAAAAAAAAGTCACAACTAATTGTAGCTCTTTCTCTGGTCTAAGAATTATACATACATTGTTCATTCTTTAGTTAGCCAAAAAGTGATTTATAACTGTTATGTTAACTCCTTTCAGTGTTTTGTATTACTAGTCTTTGTTAAGTTCTATATGTAAAAGCATAATATATAAGTTACTATAAAAAAATTAAACCATGTCAAAATTGTGACTTTCTCTCTTTTTACAGAATTTGTAAAGATTGAATGACAAGCTAATGCCAATGTTTGAATGTTAAATATGTAATTTAGATAGAAGATGTTTTGCAACAGGGATTAAGGTATTCGCAAAACTATCCGTTTATTCTCGTATTAGAAATCTTTTAATAATTATAATTCCAGCATTCCATCAACTCGTTTCGAGTTATTTATATCAATGTATCGAGGTATCTTAAACGTAGGTTATATTTTAAATTTGTCGTAGCTTGACTATTCTACATTTTTAGTATCTATTTACATTATTAGTATGATTTTTTTTTCTGCTTACTTGTTATTTTCGTTTGCCCATTTTCAATGGAAGAGTTTGGAAATTATTTTACACAAGTTTTAAACAATAAATTATTTTCCCTATGAAAATAACAAAAATTTTTTAACAATGAAAACATTAATGAATATTTGCTTTTAAAAACTGTCTCTGCCTTATTCATGATTCTTTTATTTTTCCCAAATTTATACATATTGTTGTTGATCAAAATGTATTATAATATGTTAAAATTTTGGGTCATAAAAGAAATTTGTAGCGGTAAGCATAGGGTGTTATTATACTGATAGAAATTATATATGCGTTAGCCAGATAATTTCCACTGGAGTCCCAAAATATGGAAAACAAATCTATTCATCTGAATAATAAATAGATAATTTTTTTAAAAGCATATGGTTTTATTAGAGTTTTACGTAGTCATTGATAACAGATATGTTTTATTAATGTTGCAACAGTGGTCAATGGTTTACTTATATTGTAGTCCCGCCAAAACAGAAAGTGGAGAAGTGATCTTATTTTCATTCATCTGTCCGAATCAAATTGTGAACTTAATTTCATTATGATAATAATAAAAAAAATATAATAATAAGAATTAAAAACAAAGTACAAATGTGCAAAAATTTAAACTTACAAAAATTTAAACTTGCATATCTATAAGTCTTTTATTTTCTTTTTTTTTTCTTTTTTGCATATGATCTTAGGTGAAGAAAGTCATTATATTCATTGTGTCCATCTTTCAGTTACACATGGTTTGATGTGATCAGTAGGTGATCTTACTTGCCAAGTACTCTCCCTTTAGCAACACACTTTCTGTTGTTGGGACTCAACATTTGAGCCGCGTCATGACAAAACCAACATAATAGGTTTGCGATCAGCATGGATCCAGACCAGCCTGCGCATCCGCGCAGTCTGATCAGGATCCATGCTGTTCGCTATCAGTTTCTCTACTTGTTATAGAGTTGTAAGCGAACAGCATGGATCCTGATCAGAATGCGCGGATGCAGGCTGGTCTGGATCCATGCTGATCGCAAACCCATTATGTTGGTTTTGTCATGGCACGGTTCATTTATGTATTGTATTATTTTTTTCTCGTTAGTGTATATGTAGTGTTTTCCACACCCTTCCTTCAACAAATACTCTGACAAAGACTTGTTTGATTGGAAATAAAATAAGATTTTACTTTCAAGAGTAGTAGAAATATTACTGTCATGAATTTAAAATGAATATAAGAACTTTTTTTTTATTGCGAAAAGACATGTGTTAGTGATTTAAATAAAATGCCTGTCTGAGGATGGTTGATGTAAATTTTTGTAATTTGTTGAGGATGGAAAGATACAGTACACATTGCCTTGTATTTATCCCTATTTGTGCCTATATATACTTTTGTCAATTAGTTATTTAGTGTGCAACTTTTGCTGGTCAATTCTTTTTTTTGTATGTGATTCATGTTAACACCTTATAAATGTGTGTGCTATAATACAAGCTTTTTCTATATGGAAAATAAAGCTTTGAATTTTTTTTTTGTGATCAAATATTTTATACATTGTAATCTGAAGAAGGAAATTGTTATTTTTTTCTGTTGAAAGATGTCATGAAGATAATGATTTTAAATTTTGCAATTAATTTTGATATAATTAAAGGTGCAATGAACAAAAATGATTTTTTGAATCAAAAGAGAGAGAAAAGAACAAATAAACTGTATTTATTAATGATTAAAGCATTTATGCACTGTTATCACATTTGTCAAGTGAAATATATTCTATATTTAACTCTTTGAAATGCTAGCATTTAACATTTAACAAACAGCAACTTGCCTGTTACCATTATATAGTCGGATCGGCTGGCAAATCTTGGCAGTCTGACCAAACTGTAATGTTTGGTGCTTAATTTTAGTATTTTTTGATACTGAAACCCCTTTAACTTTTATGGGACTGGTCCAAATTCAAAACAAGGCAAGTCCATTATAAAAATTCAGGTGAATAAGGGTTGATATTAATAAGGTTATGCATTAATTACAACTTTTTAGTATATTTTATCACCTGTGGTTAATTTACAAGATATAAGACCTCAACACCTCACATATTGTCGTCTCGCCATTTTTTTAAAGGGATGACAGATATATTCTGAATTTATCTAGTTATAGTTAGTAGATTTTTTACAAAATACTGGTGGATGGTATAACTTTTTATATTTGTATATTTCTTACACACAACTGCCATGGCTCTAAGAACTGTTTCTGGAGAAAAAACAAACTACAATTTGTTTAAAAGTATGTCCTTGAAGATATTCAAAATATCATTGTGTTGAAATTGTCGTATACACAACTGTCTTCTTGTCTTTTATAATGAACGGTGCTTTATCTATGCAATTCATTTAGTTTGTATCATTAATTTATATTATACGATGTTAACCTTTAGCCTGCTTGAACCCAAATTAAATTTGCATTTTTTTAAACAGGAAAAAAACCACATGTTCCCCCACATTTTTTCTTGCCGAAAAGGAAAAAATTTTTGTAAAAAAATCTCCCCCTTATTTATCAAAATAAAAATTTTAAAATTAAACACATACATAAACGGGTTTCGGGTAGAATTTTTTTCTTGATGATTTTTAGGGGGATTTTTTTATGAAATTTTTACCATTATTTTCAAAACAAAAGAGGGGGAACAAACCCGTGAGTAGGAGCCAGGGTTTAGGGGCCCACATACAAGCATCGAAGGTCTGACCAGGGGGCTATACTTTGGTAGCCCCCAAAAAAGATTTATTTTTTATATTAAAAGACTAACTTTAAATGGACTGTTCCAAATTTCAAAGCAGGGCAATTCCATTACAAAAATAAAGCGGGTTAAGGGTTAAAAAAAAATCTGATGAGGCGACTTCAATGAACTAAATCTTTGTAGGTGTCTTTATGTTGTATTATTTTTCTCCTACTGTAATTTTCATAAGAATAAAATGGTACTAACAAAATAGTGCATTACTGAGAAAAATGTGGCTAGGTTTTTTTGTTTTTTTTGGACTTCTTTATTTTTGTTTTGTCTTGTTATAGCTTTCTCTATATATAACATGTATATCGGTGTTTATGACGTCATTTATTCTTTCTGTCAGTATCATAACTACCAGATTAAATAATATGTATGCTCATATTAGTGTCTTTGTTTTATTATCTATATCACATAATTATTGTCCTTTTCCCAACATAGTAAAATACTTAAATTATAAATTGTTTGTTCAGACAAGACCACTAAATACTGTAATATTTATTTGATGTTCAGGGAAGATAATGTATTTTCATAATATTCAGTTGAAATCAAGAAATGCTTCTCTTCTTATTACTTGTATATCTGTTAGAAGTTACTTCTGAGCTTAAAAAATTAGCTGGTACTTGTATGAATCAAGAAATACACTTTTCAGTTAACTAATTGTGGTATAAACCACGGTAAACTGATATTAGTTGTTGAAAACCAAATACACGTAATCACTGATACAGAATCCAACAGTAGCAGTTGCTGAATGTTTATTGCTTGCCCCTAGGCTAACTGCTGTGGGTTCACATCCCGGTAGAGACTTTTGATTCATATCGTGTGAGGAAGCTTTTCAGCTAAGTGTACCTACTTTCAAAGTGCTTCCATTAAATCTGGAAAAATTCTGACTTAATGTTGAAATTGCCAGCATGTATCCAATGTTAACAAAGGCTTTACCGGGAATCATTGTAGCAATAAAGCACAGGATATATTTATGATGAGATGATAATCCAAGTATTTGAATACTCAATAATTGTGTATGATAATGAACATTAAACTGGAAATTACATCAGATTCTATGGTGTGATGTCAGTTAAACATTCCCTTGATCAGTTAACTTAGTATACATTTTCTTTAAATATTTTGCTGCAGATTTCTACCCAATTTGTTGTTTTGTTATTAATTTGTGACAACATTTCTTTGTTAATACTTCCTTTGTGAGTTCTCTGACAAAGAAAACAAATTTACATGTGTGGCAGCATGGCCGAGAGGTTAACGCCTCAGACTAGAAATTTCATGATCACTAGCCGCATGGGTTCAAACCCCGTAAGGCCAAGCCGTTGTTTCCTTGAGCAAAAACCTTTAAACTCATTGCTCAGTACTGGTTGGTTCCAGGAACGGATTCGAAAGTGTGTCTATAAGCTTTTAGCTTCCAACACAATCAAACTAAAATAAATTCTGTATAAACCAAATTTACATAAAAGTTCTGCACAGAAAAAAGACATCTGATATTAAAATATCACCCTAGCTTCAAATCAGTTGAGAGTGACATGAGGAACATGTATAAAGTAAATCCTTTACTAATTTAAATTGTCATAAATAATTATAAAAATAATGATGGAGAAAAAAGGGTCGTCACAAATAGTGTTTATAATAAAATATGTGTGATTAACAAATATATGTTTTAAGCTGGAAAGACAGAAAGGATTTTGGAAAAAATATCATTTTGATAGAAAGTAGTGTGTGCATGGCTGCACATACAAGCAAATAAACATTAGCACATGTAATTGTTGAAGTATGCATATGATAAATAAATATATTCAGGTGGGACATGTTAATATATACATGTAAATGATAATGTAAATTAAATTCAAGAAAGAATTACTATGAATTGTTCAAAAAAAATTTCAAAGATGGAACAGAGGGGACATAGTCGCACTTGAATATATTAATTTATCATGGGCATATTTTGTCTGTCTTCCTGTCTAATATAATAAAATGCCTGCTTTAAAGATTCACTGGTAATTGTTGATATTTAAAAATATTTTTTAGACAGTTGTTTTATTCCCTTAATGTTTCAAACAGTAATTTTTCAGATGTGTTCTATTTTACTGTGTCATGAAATATATACCTGAAGAACAAAAAAAAATACAAAAAAACATTAAACCAATCAAATCAATATTTATTAAACACAGCTGTAATATACAAAAATAAATATTACTATTTTTTTTTACAATGGCATGAAGCCGTTCTGGTGTGAACATACTGTCTGACATACTAACAAACGGGGTGGATTATTTGTTTATTGACCAATACTTGTACAGTCATGTTTACAGTGGTAATATCTATTTATAGCATGTCAGATATTGATTGTCTTTGTGGTATAGGTAGATAACTATAAGCTTTATAGTTTAAGCCTTCATATGGGAAACTCTACTTGGTCTACAGTTTTAAAGAGGTATGTTTGCTGGTTTATTTTTATTTTCATTGGTTACAGCCAATATTTATTAATACATGTATATTTATTTAATTTCCACTTTGTATATCAAGTGTTTTGTGGTTATGTATTTATAAGTAAGAAATGCTTTTAACAGGTTAAAAGGCTTGTTTTTTTTATTACATAATCATGTACTTGTCTGAGTTTTATAGATCTACGTATTCATTTAATGCTTTTTAGCTCGACTTTTCTATGAAAAGGGGAGCTATCCTACTCGCCCCAGCGTCGGCGTCGGCGTCACACCTTGGTTAAGTTTTTCGTACCACCCCACTTTATTTCAGAAGTATTACAAGTATGGCTTTGAAACTTACCATACTTGTTCACCATCATAACCTCCATCTACAGACAAGAGTACATAACTCTGTCAAGGTTTTTGACAGAATTATGGCCCTTTTTTGACTTAGAAAGTGTATTGAGCTTGGTTAAGTTTTTTGTACCACCTCACTTTATTTCAAAACCATTGGAGGTATTGCTTTGAAACTGACCATACTTGTTTACCATCACGACCTTCATCAACAGACAAGAGGACATAACTCTGTCAAGGTTTTTGACAGAATTATGCCCCTTTTTGACTTAGAAAATACATTGAATATGGGTAAAATCCACTTATTGCCTTAACCCTTTGAGATATTGCTTTTGAAACTTTTAATGCTATTTCACATCATTACCCCCATCTGTACGCAAGAGAAGGTAACTCTGTCAAGGATTTGTTTTAAAAATTAAGGCCTTTTATCGACTTAGAATCTTGGTTAAGTTTTTAGTACCAGTCCACTTTTTGACTGAACTGTTTGAGATATTAATTTTTTAGTTTTTAGTACCAGCCCTCTTTTGACTTAAACATTTCAAACTTTGCTGCAGTGTTCAAGGGTATCACACAATTCAGTAAAATAATTCTTCACTAAATATCTTAATGCTCATGGCCATTGTTCACTTTAAAAATACAGAGATTCTTGTATTTCCTTTTACTGCAAAAACTTTTTTTATTGGCAAGCAATAAAAAAGTCGAGCGCGCTGTCTTACGGACAGCTCTTGTTTAAATTGTTCAAGGATCAAATTTTAGTCTTTTATTGTACAAATTTAAAGTTTTAAATTTGTGTAAAGATAATCTGCTTGTTGTTCTTTGTTTGTACATTTTATATACTTTTGGGAATAAGTATGTTAAAATTAAACCAACTCCAAAATGTATAATTTATATTGATATATCGTCAGTTTATAATAATTTTTATCAAATATTCTTTGGTTAATAAGTATTCGTATTTTAGATATTTGCTATATATCCATATTTGATATGTTTAAAACCTTCACAAATATGTAAACAAGAATTTCAAACTTGATGTATATACAGGCGTGTGTATAATGATTTAAACTTTATAGACATAATATTTCTATAGGCTAATATTGAGGTCTATAATATTTATGAGCCTATGCTTTATGGTTGAATGCAAAATGTAAAAATGTAACAATGAATAAGAAAGAAGTCACACAAAAAATGAGAAGGAAAAAAAAATATATCCAATATATACATTACTATAATTTAAATTGCTTTTTTAATGCTGTATTCTTGTAAAAAAAGTAAAGCAATTTCATCAGTGCCAGATAGCTTCTTTATTATATATTTACTAATGAAATATTGAGAAATATTGATGACATAAAATGCGTATTTTCATTTTCTGTATTTTCACTGTAAAAATTTATTTTTCACTGCAGTGAAACATATTTTCCGTATTTTCACTGGTGTCTTGCCAGACTACTTTCTTTTAAATTCTGTTACTTCATAAAATTTAAGGGACATTTTTCAAATTTTAATGAAAAAAAAAAGAAAAATGTATATGATAAACAGAAAATTCAAGTTTTTTCTATAAATACATGATTTATTTTCATCTTGTGGCATGAAAATTACCATATTTCACTCGTGGCTACCGCCACTCATGAAATATTTATTTTCATACCACTCGATGAAAATAAATCATGTATTTATAGAAAAAACTTGAATATCCTCTATGGATGATGCTGGATGGAATAGGCATACATTCTGAAATTTGATGTACAATATTATTATGCGAAGGGTTTACAAAGATGAAATATAGTGGCTTAAAAGTTGTGATTTTTGGTCAGTGATCTACAATTATCATGCAGATTCTTCTTTGAAAATCTTGTTGTTGTGGAGATACAGAATTAAAACTTAATATTATTACAAAATTTTCACCAGTATTCACTTCCTTAATTCACTTAAGGAAATAATTTAGTAAAAATCCAAGTAAATTTAATACTGGCCTTCAATTGAGACGTGGATGAAGGGGTCATTTGGGGAAGTGATGTTTGCATAATAAGTAAATTCAATAGTTGTACAAATAAATCTAAAGAAACTACTTTAGAAGGTAACCATGTTTATATGTCAAAGAATACAATGCAGCCATTTTAACAACTGATATGTACATGTATTACAATTCTTGATAAAAAGTCTCATAAAAGAATACTTTTTATCTAATCTCAGTGCAATGTTTGATAAAAAGCTGAATCACTCCATACAGTATACTTATAAATGAAATATTGAGAAATATTGATGAAATAAAACGCTTATTTTCATTTTCTATATTTTCATTGTAAAAATTTATTTTTCACTGCAGTGAAACATATTTTCTGTATTTTCACTGGCGTCTTGCTGGGCTACTTTCTTTTAAATTCTGCCAGTACACAAGATCTAAGGGAGATTCTTTCAAATTTTTATGTGTCAAAAAAGAGACAAATGTATGTAATAAACAGAAAATTCAAGTTTTTCTTATAAATACATGATTAATTTTCATCTTGTGACATGAAAATTATTATATTTCACTTGTGGCTACCGCCACTCATGAAATATTTCTTTTCAATTACCAAAATATGAAAATAAATTATGTATTTATAGAAAAATCTTGAGTATCCTCTACTTATTCATTTTTTTTATTGATTTATTTATCTTTTTTAATATGTGATAATTTGACCTGTACTTGTAGAGAAAATTCAGACAAGAGGGCATTTGTTAAAAGGATACAGAAGATGGCATCTCGTGGTGAACTACATGATACAGCAAACAGCAATGTATTGTCACAATGGGTGGAGACTGTCACAAGATTCTCCTCACAATATGACACAAATAGGTTAGTAAAAGTTAAATATCAGTATGAGTTTCAGTCTCAGTATGACACAAATAGGTTAGTGCAATTTTAACTATCAATATGACTTTAACTATCAATATGACACAAATAGGTTAGTGAAGTTAACTTTCCCAGGCTACAGAAATAGTGTTTTAGTTTGCTAGATCTAAAACACATTTGTTGGCTTATGTACAGGATAATTAGCTTGTTTCAAAGCCAACAACGCATAAGATTTTTATATTTATTTGACATATTTAGTGATCTTTTAAGGCAGAGATGAATACAAAATTCAATGGCAATTGTTATATGGAAGTAGGCATTGTTTTTTCTTCTAAGCATAATGTATGTATAATTTTATCATAATTTTAGGGGTACAGGTGTTAAAGCAGCACACCTCAGTTTTCAAGAAAAATTTTTTTTTAAAGTAAAATATTGTGAAGTGAACAAAGAAAGCGATTTACACATTGCAAATTGCACTTAAAATCCACATTAATTACCCAAAAAAGAGGTTAAAATATGCAAAATTAGCCCTTAATACTGCATAAGTAACTCAGAAGAAATTTTTTGAAAATACTGTACAAAAACCAGTCATTAATCACAAATAACATGTACCTGTAAATTATATCTTGAATTTCTTTACTTTTCACATTTTTCACAAGTTAGATTTTCATGAAACCTTTTGGCTTATCTGGAGGCATGCATGCAGCTTTAAGCAAGCTGCTTGTTACCAGTTTTCTAGCAGCTGATATTAATATATTGAGTGTTTACAGCATTTTAATAGGTGTCATTTCATTATACATGGATATCTTCATCCATTATGACGGTTGACCATTAAGCTGTTTATTTTTATCTGTTCAACTGCAGACAGCTACACAATCTGCCAATGTAATCAGTGACATCTGCGTGGTCTGCTATTGAGTACATATTTTTGAAATTTTTTCATAAAGATGGAAAAGTTCATTTAAGATATTTAGCAGTAAATAAGTTAATGTTTGGATGCCAAACTATTATGGAAAGAATCCATCTTAGAAAATACTTAATTGGTTGTGCAGAAAGGCACCTGAGGTCTTCCTTCACTAGTAAAGCTGATAAGTGGCCATATCATGCTCTATAATGTGTTTGTGCACAAAAAAAAAACTGCAACCAAAAGTGATCTAAGCTTCCATGTTATAGGTCTGACCAGTCTAGGCTGACTATACAGTTGACTGGCTAAATTATCTTGTAAACCACAAAATTAAAAACAGAATGTTCCAAAAACTTGCAGCTGGACAAAACCATTTAAGAATTCATCATGTTAATGGTTAAGGTACTTAAATGAATAAATCAGTTTACTATAGTTCATTCTCATATAATTATTATGATATTATATTTTCTGCCAGTGCATTTAACATAAAATATCAAATCTTTGCTTGTACTCCTACAGTTGGCCAGCTACCTGTGTGATAGGTCCCCCAAGAGTTTATCCTAAATATGGAGATATACCCGGAGCCTGGGCATCTAGTACTATAGATGAGAGACAATTCTTAGAGGTAATAACTATTTATAAAATAAGCTTCACATCTTGGAGTCGATGGACCTTTCCGGTTTTTCGTAGCCGAACATTTAGCCACACCTTTTCCATTCATTGCTAGGTCAACTGCTCACATACAGTATCACAAACATAACCATGTGTTCTTTTGTGCAAACCAGGTCAACCCACAGTGACTATGTACTTTCTCAGTGTAGCAATTGGATAACAAGTTGGCCAATTTACATAAAACTGTAAACACTGGAAAGGTCCATTAAAACTTGACAAAGCCACTTTACACAACAGAATATGCCCAGGCTCCAGGATTTCTGCACAGGATATGTAATTCTATGATATTTTACGTATATATTTATGTACATAGATGGAACGCTGATCAGGTGATAGGGGCACCAAAGGTTTTCCCTGGTTACGGAGACCGACAAGGAGCCTGGGCTACGTCAATAAAAGATGCTAATCAGTTTATAGAGGTAATTTTGCTTAATCATATTTTTTTTATGTTTGATTGTGAAACAAGTTCTTGCAACTTTTCAAGTTGCAACTTCCTGGAACTAAACAGTACTTACTGGTGTAATAAAAGTATCCATGATCATGACCTGAGTGGGGCTCAATCTAAAGATCCTATGGTTGAGTATCTGAGACACCTGAAGCCCATCTTATCACTGATTGTACGTCTGTTTTTATCGTATGATCGTCATAATTATGTCAATCATACGATTTTGACTGTGTCAAGACCAAACATTGCAGATTTCCAAAATTGTACAATTGTTTATAAGATGGGCTCCTAATCAATTATTTTCCTCTATGCTTCTCCATAATTACAATAAATCTATTATTTGAAACTAAAAAATCAACAACTTCTTTTTTTGGTTCTATAGACATGAAATTGCTTTGTGATATTTCAATTTCTTGATTTGTGTTTGCACATGTCAATTATATAAGTACTGTGTAAATAAACTTTTGGACTAGCTACAAATTTTATAAGTTATGACAGTGTTTTTATCATGACTAAACAAGGAAGCATTAAGATAAATTAGGTACCATATTTATGTCCTCACTGACTCACAAATGCAAAACTTTATCATGTTTATAGACTTAAATATTTTCCCTCTGGAAATGGCAGTTAGTATAAAAATTGTATTAATGTGTAAGAAAATAAAAAGAAAAGTACAAATGTAACCTCTACGTTGTTTTTTAGCTCGACTATTCGATAAGAATAAGTAGAGCTATTGCAGTCACCCGAGCGTCGGCGTCGGCGTAACCACTTATGTTAAAGTTTTTGTAATAGTTCAAATATTTTCAAAGTCCATTGACATATGGCTTTGAAACTTTGCACACTTGTTCACCATCATGACCCCAACCTGTAGACAGGAGGAGGTAACTCTATCAAGCATTTTGACAGAATTATGCCCCTTTTTCGACTTAGAATTTACGTTAAAGTTTTTGTAATAGTTCAAATATTTTCAAAGTCCATTGCCATATGGCTTTGAAACTTTGCACACTTGTTCACCATCATGATCCCAACCTGTAGACAGGAGGAGGTAACTCTATCAAGCATTTTGACAGAATATTGCCCCTTTTTCGACTTAGAATTTACGTTATAGTTTTTGTAATACCTCTAATATTTTCAAAGTTCATTGACAAAAGGCTTTGAAACATGTTGAAATTTTATACTCTTCTTTGAAAGCATGATAGGACTCTCTCCAATGCCTGTAACTGTAATATGGATTTAAAGAAGTATTTTGCCTTTTTCTTTACTGAGAAAATTTTACCTTTTAATCAAGGCTTCTTTTACTATCAAGCACTAAGAATAGTCGAGCGTTGCTGTCCTACCGACAGCTCTTGTTTATGAGTGGCATTATCATTGGTAGCCTAGCTAAGCTATTATACTTAGATATTAAAGTTAACTGTCATTTTGTATCAGTAAATTCACCATAATGGACAATATTATGTTACTGAAACAATTACAGGCTGTAGAAGCTTCTTTCCTCAGTTGCTTCATTCATACATGAGGTAATCCTCTTACTACTATTGTTGATAGAAAATAATGTATCATATCTTTTACAGGTAGAGTTTAAGGAAGCTGTTTTTGTGACAGGTATGGACATTTACGAGACATACCATGCTGGTGGGGTTAAAGCCATTAAAGCACTAGGAGAAGATGGGAAATGGCATAACCTATGGAAAACTGACAGAGTGACTGTGATTAAATCATCCAGAGTGTTCAAACCTGAGCTTGCAGTAAGCTTATTTCTTGTATATTGATACTTAAGGGGATCTCTTTGGCTGAGTGGTTACAGACGCTGCTCTGTAATCTCAATGCATGCACCAATGTTTGCTAAAAAAGCAATTGTAGATTTTTTCATATGAGAAAGTTATGCAACTACATTAAAGAATTACACTTACCACCAATAGATCCAAAAATCCAAATTGTATGCAGACTTGACAATGCTGGTAGTACTTAAATGCATCTTTGTGGCCGAGTGGTGAAGGTTTTTGACTTCAAAACACTTGCCCCTCACTTCCTTAGATTCGAAATCCTGACAGGGATTTTGGTTTCTTCCATGTGAAGTAGCCATCCAGCTAGCTTATGAAATGAGCTGCGATACGACAAAACCAACGTAATGCGTTTGCAACCAGCATGGATCCAGACCAGCCTGCGCATCCACGCATCATTTTCTCTACTTGTAATAGTGTTTGTAAGCGAACAGCATGGATCCTGATCAGACTGCGCAGGCTGGTCTGGATCCATGCTGGTCGCAAGCGCACTATGTTGGTTTTGTTGTGAGGTGACTCAAATGTCTATGGTTCCACTCAGGTTCCCGTGTGTGCCTGAAATAATGCAAGGCAGAGCATCTGAGGTCTTCCTTTACCAGTATACCTACTCTGCTTCAGAATGGACAGTTGAATCATTGTTATGCATTATTATTTTTCTCTTCCAATGTGGCTTTTTTACACACAGCTTATGATTTAATCACTTAGAATTATGTTGTAACATTCGAAAGAGTAGTGCTTTCAGGTGCTACATTTGAAGAATTTGGTACATGTGCTAATCTTGCAATCAAAAGTTTGTTGCCAATGCCAAAAGTATTGAAAGGGTAGTGCCTTACCATTTATATAACCAAGCAAACAACTGGACCTTTATTACCATGACCAAATGCACAAATGCTAAACTGATCATTGTTTATATTTGACCAGGAGTTAAGCTACAGAACAAAGAATATCCGTGTAGAAGTTGACTGTACTGGATGTGGAACATGGGTAGAGATTGATGCTATACAACTACATGGATGTACATACTTGATAGGTACGTTATTTTGCCATATTTTTATCATTCTCTTTCTTTTACTGTTTAATACAGTGACCTGAACTGTTTGAGGTGTTTTCTTACTGTTAGAGGTGTTTTCACCTGACTGTTAGTTTTCTCTTCAAATTACTTTTTGAGGTTCTATCTTCTTATTGTTAAAGAGGAGTTCTTTTCCTAATGGTAGAAGTGGTGTCTTCTTACTGTTTCCTACTGTCAGAGGGATTGTCAACTCCTTGTTTGAGGGGTTCTGTTCTCACCCCAATGTTATAAGGTCTTCCTTCCTATTCTGTTACAAAGAACTGTTTCATCAGAAAACTTACAGTTCGCCAAAGTTTGTCTACCAATAAAATCGCTCTATTTTGTTTAAATTTTGCCGAAGTATTTTCCATACAGTGCTGTAACTCAACTGTATGTATTAAATACGTTAAATGAGCCGATTTAATGGACCCCGCCTATTTACATAGTGCACTCGGTTTGAATATGCGGGGCTAACTGTAAGTCGGTTATAGGTTATATACAGAGTTTTAAGAAACTAATTTTCTCGCTTCACTTCGTTCGCTCGAAAATTAATTATATAACCTATAACCTTTACTTACAATTAATAAGGTAATATAAATAAAAGATAATGTTTGTAAATATATATGAGCCGTGTCACGACAAAACCAACATAGTGCGTTTGCGACCAGCATGGATCCAGACCAGCCTGCGCATCCGCGCAGTCTGATCAGGATCCATGCTGTTTGCTTACAAACCCTATAGCAAGTAGAGAAACTGATAGCGAACAGCATGGATCCTGATCAGATTGCACGGATGCGCAGGCTGGTCTGGATCCATGCTGGTCGCAAACACATTACGTTGGTTTTATCGTGACAAGTCTCATATACACCTCTTTGTTATATTTTAGAGCCACCTCCACCAATGGAAGATCTGTCGCGGGATTTAGGGGCTATAGTGAATGATGAGAGATTCAGTGATTGTCAGTTTTTACTGGAAGGCAAGAAAACTGTATATGCACACAAGGCTATAATCTGTGCAAGGTCAGACTACTTCAGGGCAATGTTTGAAGATCAAACAAAAGAATCTAAGTCAAAGGTATGTGTAATGTTCAGTAGCATATTCTTCATGCATATTGACATCATTTAGCGGTATACCAAAGAAATACTGTAAAAAGTGTTTTTTTCGGATTCTGTGTGAGAGTTTATTTGTTTTACACATAATTATAACTGTTTTTTTTGACAGAAATAATTATGTAGACTATTAAAATTCAGTGGTATGAGTTGAAAAAAGTAACATTACATTGTTCTCTACTTAGTGTGACAAAACCTGGAGTTCAGTTACTAACAGTTTATGCCCCTATTTAAAATTCTCTCCACCACTTTTCATTTTACAGAAACTGTACTAGTAGCACAAACAGCTTTTAGGAAATAGATATCAATTTTGAGTGTGTTGTTATAGAATAATACATGGTTCAAGTTCTTATCCACAGGAATATAATAACAAAAGCTGAGTGATAATATATAATAACAACGCATTTAAAGCTGCATGCCTCCAGATGAACCAAATATTTCAAGAAAATCAAACTTGAGAAAAAAGTACCGAGATGTTAAGAAAATTGAAAAGATGAAAGATTAGGGTAATAATTTCCATGTTATGTGCGATTTATGACTGATTTTGCAGAATTTTTCAGCATATTTCTACTGTGTTACTAACGCAGTTAAGGTTATTTTTTGCATATTTTGACCTCTTGGGTAAATTACATGGGTTGTAAGTGCTGTTTGCAATGTGAAGATTATTTTCTTTGTTCACTTAACAATACATTACTTTTTAATATATTTTTAAGAATTTCATGAAAATTAGCATAAATCTGGAGGCATGCTGCTTTAAATGATAATTATACTGTGCATATATTATGTAAGAATTCACTTGGCTTCCCTGTCTATCTAATAGGGGAATGGTGTGAAGTGTGTTAGAATATTAAACTAATTGGCCTTTTAAATTTTTTGAAAGTTTTTTACCCTTATTTGAGTTTGATGTTGCGATTTTTGAAGATTTTAATTTTTAATGTAATTATTGTCTTTAATGGAGAAGCCAGTAGTAAACAGTTTGGTTGGATAACATGGTCATTCAATTTGCCTAGCTTTCAACTAGTTGTCCATGAAATACAATGTAATTATTATGGTTATTTTTGATATATATTTCAGACTGCCATAGAAATCAAGGATGTATCGTATGATAGTTTTATAGCTGTGCTGCATTTCCTGTATACAAATAGTTTACCTCCAAAATTAAAAGAAAAACAGAAAGATGATACAATTATACTGACTGATGTATGGAGAGGTAATATATATATGAGCCGTGTCATGACAAAACCAACATAATGGGTTTGCGACCAGCATGGATCCAGACCAGCCTGCGCATCCGCGCAGTCTGATCAGGATCCATGCTGTTTGCTTATCAACTCTATTACAAGTAGAGAAACTGATAGCGAACAGCATGGATCCTGATCAGACTGCGCGGATGCGTAGGCTGGTCTGGATCCATGCTGGTCGCAAACCCATTATGTTGGTTTTGTCGTGACGCGGCTCATATAACTTTTATCACATATCATCGATTATATTCAATTTCATTGAAAAACAATGCCATCAAATCTTAAATGTTTAAGTCAATAGGTGACGTCATTTTCAACTAGCCAATCAGTTTATTTTGCAGTTTTCTGCATCATTTGTCTTAAGGTATCATGTGATAAATAGGAGTTACATTTGTTGTCATTTTAAATAAAGAGTTACATTTGCTCATCCCAGAAATATTATAAAACTTGTTACATGCTTGTCTAGACCTTCTAAACCCTTATCAATGTTAATATCTTGAATGGACTTGTCCATTTATCAGTCTGGAGGAAATTATTTTTCAGTTTTCGGGGAATTTTCAAAATATGTAGTGACTAAACAGCAAATGTACAGTGCAGACCATGATCAGGCAGCATGGATGTATATGCTTATGCTAGTCTGCACTGGAAGCATGTATATAATTTTGTAATTATCAGTGTTAGGGTTAACATTACCTGGCATGAAGGATTTCTTTCCAGATTTGCATGTACCGGAACCAAACAGTTACATAACCATTCTTCTGTATCAGCAATTAAATGATTTTTTATCAGACTTAAATTCTAAAAGAATGTAAATCCCAGTTTTAATTGAAGGGGTGTCAAAAGAAATTCAGTGGTTTAGATTTGCCATTGTATTATTTTGTACATTTTACTGCCAGGTTTTATTGGTCTGAAATGTTTTGTGTTTTTTCTCCAAAAAGCTTGTATGGAAAAAAGTTTACAACCAAACATACTATTGAAATTTAATAATTTGATGTTAATATTTTTTAGGGTTTTTTTTCTATCAAATACATTTTAATGGTATATGCAATTTCAGTTGCTGACAGATTGAGCATGGACGGTTTTAAGAGGTTGGCAGCTTACATGATTAGTTTAAAGATAGATGATAAGAACGTAGTGGACACATACGTTGCTGCCGTTAGCAAACTCCCAGTTATAGGTAAGTTGTTAACTAGTAGCGCCACCTGGTGGCAGTACTTGTAATAAATTAGCATTTTCTGTAGATTATGTAGATTATTCCAAACTGTATCCAATCTAAGGAATATTTTTCATACAGTCTTAAAAATAATTTTTTCATCATCGACTCCTGTATATATGGCATATAGCTATTTGTGATAGCTTATTAAATATCAATTCTTCCCTTTTTAATAATGCTTGTTGACTGTGATAAAAGATTGCATATGCCACCATTGTGAGGTGTTTCAAAAGCCAAAAAATTATAAAATATGACAAAGATGATAAAGAAATATACTCAGAATTTAATTGAAAATCAACTTGACACGATTTAAATTTAATATAATGCATTTTAACCCTTTCCATGCTAAATATCTTAATTGACAAAATAATGCAAACAATATAGATCTTTTAACTTTGTTGCCAGTATGAATGTACTTCTTGCTCCATTTTGAGGATATTCTAACAGTAAAGATTTGGATTTGTCAGACAATAACTTCATATGATTTTAGATCATGTGCATGCTAGTGGCAATGATTTCAGGTCTATGTCACCCACATTTAGCCTGACCAATTGTTATACATGTGCAGTCTCAAAGACCTTATATTGTTAGCTACTTACTTTTAATCTTTTACTATCACATTTCCCCATAAAACAGCTAAGGGCTAGCCAAAATTCAAAGCAGGGAAATTCCATTATGTAAATTTAGTGGTGATATGATGAAATATTAATAGGATATTACTTATATTTCAGATGAAGTTAAGAACAACTGTATGTTGTACATGTCAACCCATTTACAGAGCATTGTTAACACTGCAAGCTTCACGGCTCTACCTCAGGACGTAATGTTGGAAATCATTCAGGGAACTACAGCAAAGTTGAAAATATAATATAGAATTTATATCTTTTATATCAGGTATAAAATGCTCAGGACTATACATATTTATAGATTGTTGATCAAATTTATTTCAAGCATTCTTTTTGTTAAGAATTTATTTTGGTCAAAATTGTAGCTCCTTCAGTTATATGAAAGAGTCTAATTTTGTTTCCCAGGCCCTGTGTTCGCATCAAAAAGATCAGAATCAGGATCAAATTATCTTGATTTTATTTTATTGTTTTATGAAACTAAAATTATTCTTATTTGGCAAGATTTAATTGGTACATGTTCAAAATGTAAAAATTGCTGATTTGCAAAGAAACAAACCTATTTTGGGATAAAATCGACTCATAACTAAACAAATATATAAAGAATTGGATCAAAATAAGGATAAGTTTTAGAATCAATGTCAATATTTGGAATTTATCTGTAAAATGCCCAAATATTGCAAAATAGCAATAAATTTATTCTAAAATTTCATAAAAATGCTTTTTCAGATCCATTTTCATTAAGTTAATATCTAATATTTAATCTTTGAGGATAAGCAATGGAGTATATTTGAGTTTTTTAATTTGATCCTTAAATGTTAGTGAACATGGGGCAGGAAGATAATTTTCTTTACCATCTCTATCATACATTCTTTTACATTCATGTTGGCTGATAAACTAAAGATTTTCATCTTGGCATCCCCAAAAATGATAAATGCACAGTTCCAAAGATGGAAGCTACATGGATATTTTAGTTATTCTAAAGGACAAGTGTTATTGAAGAACAAGCAATTATTGGTAGTTTAATTATAGCATTTATGATATATTAATTTCTAATGTTTTATTCGCTCTTTAGGACCATGATTTCTTTCTTTTATTGCCCGTGTTTGTCGGGTTTTTTTGTGTTCAAACTGCTGAAAACATTGTTAAAGCAGTTATTTATATTTCTATGTAGTATGAAAAAGAAATGTAATCACTATGAACATGACCACATTTGGCCTTAGTGCAGTAACAGGTTAACTCCTTTTAAATTTAACTTGAGTTAGCCAGTTACTTCACAAAGGTGACAATATGTTATTTAATTAATACTGATATAAATATACAGGCTGTTAAACGTGTACACAATTGTAATCTGTTGTTTTGGAAATTTCATTGGTAACACTGCATGTAAGTCTCTGTAAACAAAGGATACATTTTTTAGAAATATGTAACATATATTTTGTGAATTATTATTTGTCAAACTCTCTGTGATATATGATAGTTTTTAACATTTTAATTAAATTTATATATTAATTAAAATCATAATTTGTTCACATGTACAATTGTTTTACAAATTTGTATTACCTCACCCTCAACTTCTTACCTGCCATGATTAGCCTTTGCCACCAGTATAGAACAAAGCCAGTCTGTGCATCAAGAATGAGGCCAGTCTGTGCATCCAGAATAAAGCCAGTATGTGCATCCAGAATGGGGCCAATCTGTGCATCCAGAACGAGACCAGTCTGTGCATCCAGACCGAGGCCAGTTTGTGCATCCAGACCGAGGCCAGTCTGTGCATCCAGAATGAGGCAAGTCTGTGCATCAAGAACGAGGCCAGTCTGTGCATCCAGACCGAGGCAAGTCTGTGCATCCAGAACGAGACCATCCAGAACGAGACCATCCAGAACGAGACCAGTCTGTGCATCCAGAATGAGGCAAGTCGTGCATCCAGAACGAGGCCAGTCTGTGCATCCAGACCGAGGCAAGTCTGTGCATCCAGACTGAGGCAAGTCTGTGCATCCAGAATGAGGCAAGTCTGTGCATCCAGAACGAGGCCAGTCTGTGCATCCAGACCGAGGCAAATCTGTGCATCCGTACAGTCTGACCTGGCTGTTTGTTGATCACTGACCAACTTCAATTTTAATCGTAGATATTTTGAATTAATTTGAATTTTTAGGTCTTTATTTAGTTATTGTAATAGATTTTCTTTTTTTTTTTTATTATTTACTTTATTTAATTTTATTATAAATTCTTTAATTTTATTACAAACTATTTGGTGTGTTACTCCACATTGTTAATATATGTTACTGTTTTTTATTCATTGTTAAAGAAACTGGCTTTCAATTAAGAATTTTATTTTTATTTGTAATTCTTTGTTTTTCTGTACTGTAATGTTATTTTGAATAAATCTTTTTGCATATACACATGTTTACAGTATATATATATTGAAAAATATACAATTTTTGTAATGAAATAAAAAAAATGACACAATTGTTGATAGTTTTGTTTTTCATTATAATAAAACATTTTATTTTTCTGTTATAGATTAAAGAGTGGCGTTTATTAATTACATTTGACATGTCTACAATTGTTTTAAATTGATAACTTAGTATTTGAAGAAAAGTTAGACTATTATTCTACTATATTCGATTGGTCAGTGTAACACTTGCTTAAGTTTGATTTTATTTGTAGCTTCATATCATTTAACTACTATAAATTATTTATAACCACTTGATTGGTCAGGACAATACATGTATATACATGTACCCTGACTTTTATACTTCACAATATCTTCAGGACATTGTCTAATATCCTGCCGTGGATTAATTAAATTATATAACTCTCAGTGAACTTAAAAACTTTTGGTTAAAGTTTTGTCTGCATTTTCCGTGTCCAGAAACACTCAAGTGCTAACTTAAAGCTCCACACGTGTTTGGGAGCATTAAGGTAAAAAGTAAAAATCGCATGGGTGCGTACAGCCAAGTCAAAGCCACGTGATGAACGGCCTGGTCAGTCAAGTGATCAAATTGCTCAAATCCATATTGTCTCCGAGTGCATTATGGATAAAGGTTGATGATATTTAATTTATAAATATAGGGATGTATGTTACTATTGTACCACAATTTCACGTGCATAATAAAGATATACCAAGCCAAGCATTATATGATCGGAAGGTCCGACTATACGTGTGTTTTTTTTAGCTCACCTGTCAAAGTGACAGGGTGAGCTTTTGCGATCGCTTTTCGTCCGGCGTCCGTCGTCCGTAAACTTTTACTTTAAACGACATCTCCTCATAAACCGCTAAGCCAATTTCATCCAAACTTCACATGAATATTCCTTTGATGGTCACCTTTAAAAATTGTTCAAAGAACTTAATTCCATGCAGAACTCTGGTTGCCATGGCAACCAAAAGAAAAAACTTCAAAAATCTTCTTTTAAAAAACCCAAAGAGCTAGAGCTTAGATATTTGGCATGAAACATCTTCTAGTGAGTGTCTACCAAGTTTGTTCAAATAAAAACCCTGGAGTCAAAATTGGCCCCGCCCCAGGGGGGTCATTGTTTTTCCATATATGTATATAGTAAAAACTGAAAAAAATCTTCTTTTAAAAAATTAAAGAGCTAGAGCTTAGATATTTAGCATGAAACATCTTCTAATGGGTGTCTACCAAGTTTGTTTAAATAAATGTCCTAGGGTTAAAATTGGCCCCGCCCGGGGGGGGGGGGGTCATTGTTTTTCCTATATGTATATAGTAAAAACTTAAAAAATCCTCTTTTAATAAACCGAAAGAGCTAGAGCTTAGATATTTAGCATGAAACATCGTCTAATAAGTGTTTACCAAATTTGTTTAAAAAAAGACCTGGGGTCAAAATTTGCCCTACCCCAGGGGGTCATTGATTTTCCTTATATGTATATTGTAAAACTTATTATATTTTTTCTTTAAAAAAAACATAAAGAGCTAGAGATTAGATATTTATCATGAGACATCTTCTTATCAGTGTCTACCAAGTTTGTTCAAATAAATGCCCTGGGGTCAAAATTGGCCTTGCCCGGGGGTCATTTATTTTCATTATATGTATTTAGTAAAAATTTAAAAATCTTCTTTTAAAAACCCCATAGAGCTAGAGCTTATATACATAGCATGAAACATTTTCAAATGGATGCCTACCAAATTTGATCAAATAAAAGCCCTTAGGTCTAAATTGGCCCAGTCTGGGGAGAGTCATTGATTTTCCTTATATGTATATAGTATAAACAACAAAAATTTATAAAGACCCAAAGAGCCAGAGCTTAGATATATCTCAAAAGGACAATGCAAACATGATAAATGACCTAATTATTTTCTGCTGGTAATTGTTGGCATGCCTCTTTGATGAGATAAAAGGTCTGTCGGGTCTTTTGAACTTTGTCAAAAAAAAAAAAATAAAAAAAAATGATGAATGTCTTGGTGTTTTATTTAGCTAGGCTACTCACATGTTTGATTTTTTTTTTGTCTGGATTGAAAAAAACACAGGTAATTCTTAATCTAACCTTGAATATATGCTCATTTATATTAAGTTGCAGGGAATTTTACAGAACAACAGAATTAGAATACATGCTCTATTATTTAAAAAAAAAAAGACAAAAATGTTGATTTATATCAAAATTTAAGTCAGAAAAAAATTTCCATTATGAAAAGAAACTGTCATTTAATAGTATGACATGTCTGATTGTAAATAACATAGTGGTACCACGGCTTATTAATAATTAAAGCAGTGCATATACACATGAGATATTGGGTCAATTTAGTAGCAAATTACAATAGCATTATGTAATCCCTTGTTACAAAAAATACATGTCAATGTCTCATAATTGTGCCTGTCGAGGTTCTGCTGTTTAAGTATTTTGTTCTACTGTGACACATTAATTTTGCTACATGAACCATTGATTTTGTTATGGAACTCATTGTTTTTCAACATGTGCACCCTGGGACGCACGATATAGAATTTCTTGCAATCACTGGAACCGCTTGATGGATATTCAGCAAATTTGGTTGAAGTGTTCTTACATGGACCTTTCCTCATTTTGTTCACATAATTTTGTTCAGTCCCCGTTAAGGGCTGCCATAGCTAAAAATATAATAAAAAAACTGATTATTCTTGTGCACCTCTGTTTTCTAGATGATTCACCAAAATGAAATGATTTTATTTGATCTTGTTTATTTTCATATTTGCATATCGATGGAGAACAGTACAGTAATATTGAACGGCATACTTATTAGTGCATATTCCATTAAACTAAATGAAAAGAGACCAACCTCACCAAAAATGTGCCATTGATGAAAACGTATTTGATAATTATAAATTTCATTTTGATAATCATAAATTTATTCTTACATTATTTGTTGATATTTACTCCTTTCATGATTAGTTGATCAGATTTGATCCTAAATTATTTCATCAGTGAAATAAAAGGGCCTCTTACATACTGGAATGTTACCACCTGGCTGACCATGCTTGTGCTTATTTTATCTTTGTTATACAATTTCCTTCTGATTTAAGTAAAAGTGTAAAGTAAAAGAAATATTTAATACTTTTGCTCCTGTTTTTATA